TCTTCCTTCCGGGAGGGACTACCGACTGAACCAAACATATCATCGACTCCCACTGATTCCGGTTCAATGAATCCCCAACAAACATGAGCCTCTTGTGCCTTAGTTTTTCGAGCAATAATCTCGGTTTGTACCTTGAAAAACAGCCAAATATATACAGTGTTCACCAGTCAGTTGACCAGCAAGCATTAAGAGCCAACTACAGAAAGATACCTTTCAAATTAACAGGTAAGTTGCTAAAACTACCACTGATTTTAGCACCACTCCAAATAGGCCCATGCATTTTTCCAAATTACTGATTCACTCTAACATTTTTTAAAATTGAAGAAAAAATTTAACATGGCATCAAAATTAACTTACTTAGGGAGAGAACAATCTCTGGGCTGCCATCTCCAGTTCTGGTACAGTGAATTCTTCCTTCCATTTCTCATACAGGTCACCTGCTCCGTTAAAAATTCGCATTCATTCTCTTTGTACAGCGGGTGAGTGATGTTATCAAAAATCCATTCCCCTGTGAACAGATCACAGTCCTCCTGCGGGATTTCAATTTCACCATTATCATCATCATCATCACGAACATCGTCATTGATTTCATCTTCCCCACCTCGAATTTCGATTCGCTTCTTATTTTCCTCCTTTCCTTCCCCATCTTCAATTTCCAGATTCGATTTCGAGCTCGCCGAGTGGTCAATTTCCGGGTGCTCCACCTCGGTCTCCACCACCGTCCGCGAATTCACGACCACCGAGACCGTGGCGGAGTTGCTGCTGTCCGCCGCCGCGTCCACCGCACGCCTCCCCTCTTCCTCGGCGAAGAAATCAGGATCCGCCTGTTGAGCAGCCGTGGGGTGAGAGAAGGGGAACTCCGCGATTGACTTGACGTCCTCGTTGTACATGAAGCAGCCGAAGACGAAGATCGAGAAGACCACGGCGAAGATCGAGAGGCTGCTGCCTTTCCGGCCGCCGCCACCGCCTGCGGCGGCGCCGGGGGAGGCTTTCATTGAGAATGACGCGGCGGCGGAGAGGAGGAAGGGGTTGAGCTTGCGTCGGAGGGAGAGCTGCATGGGAGAAGCAGAGAATGGGGGAAAATTTGAGGGAAATTTAAGGTGTTTGAGAGGTGAAAATTGAAAATGGCTGTGCTGTGTTGATGATGATGACTGAGGAAGAGAAAACGACCAACATATTTATTTATTTATTTATTTTTATTGTTCTATTTTTTCTGATTTGTTGGAAAAAAAAAAGAAAACAAATTTAATTTGTTGATATTTGCTGGTTGATTTGTTTAGTCGTCTCCAAGCTTTTGCTGGTAAAATGTATCTGTCTTTGGGAGGGGAATTTGAGTGAGGTTAACGATGGCGGGAGAGTTGTCTTTCTCACGTACTTCCCATACTCTTGTAACTACATTTTTTTTTTTTCGTTTAATAGTTAGATAGATTGACTCATTATAGTCCCGTTACACGATGGTTCCTCCGTAAGTGCTTCTCACACTTGGATACATATGTGTTATGTAGATTATATAGTATAGATAATCTACGGTAACAAACACTAACAAAATCATTCCGTCAATGCGACAGTAGTAATTCCCACATTTATAATAAAAACTCTATGACACAATCTTCTGCTCTATACGTACTTTAGTTATGAAATGTAATAATTTTTGTTTATATTATTTTTCTGAGTACGACATTTCAATTCGAAAACATATCGCGGCAAAAGTACGACTAACTCATCGTTAAGTTTGTCTAACACTATAACAATCTTGCTAATGAAAATAGTTTCCCCAATTTCCACATGAGGCGGCAGTAGGGTTCANATATATATATATATATATATATACAATACTTTTATTTTATATTGTATTTTATTCGAGTATGACAAATCAATTTGAAAAAGTACTTTTTGCCATCGTTAGGCCAACCTAATTAACATCTGCTTTATTGTAATAGTTTAGTTTAACAAATATAATAAAAAAATGATAAAAAAAAATACGTTCCAACCATAATATGCAAAATAATTTAGTTTACTTTTGGTCAATGTGGAGTTAGATGTGTGCTTTATTAAAAAAAACATGATTTATGGTGAAGGAAAATCTAACCTAATGCTAACGGCACAAATATTTTTTTGTTCCTTGTTTAGTGTGGGAAAGCAGAGGAGTTAATTTAAAGACATGTCTGGGTTGGTCACTTGTGCCATTTTCATATAATTTTCTAGAATTATATGCATACATATGTATACTTTGTCGTGTGCTGAGAATTTTTTGTTGGGTTTGTTGGTTAGTTAGTTGCTTGAATATTTGTATAGGCTGTCTGTCGACGTTTTACTTAACTCGTATACCATATTTTAATAGATTTTTTTTCTTTAAATATATATTTTGTATGTATTTGGGAGTGGGTTTCATGTATTTTAGAATAATATATAATATTCCATCATCTGAAGGTCTTCAACTACTTATGATCATATATGATATCCTTTTTTCACTTTCATTAATTAAGATTTTGAAATCGCCTAATATGCTATCCATTCTCCATTTTGTTAGTTGACCCAACACAACACACGGCTAATTTTTCTTTTTTACATTGCAACCCATGGTCTGACATATGTGCATGCTGCCCAAAAAATTGAAAAAAATATGTTCTTTACTTAATTAAATTAATTGTTATCTACAAAAACTTAAATATATATATGACCTTGAAAATGCCACTTAAAAGACTAATTCCCCAATTTTTCCTATTTTCATGTGCGAGTCATATATGACACATGGCTCGTAATATTAGAGTTGTTAAACGAAACGAATTGCTCGTGTGCTTGACTCGTCTCATTTGATAAACAAGTTAAACTCGAGCTCGTTCAGGTAACAAATCGAGTTGGAATTCTTATGTAATTTTATAGTTTTGTTTGTTATAACTTGAATTCGACTCATGAAGGATTAAACTCGACTTGTTAATATTGATAGATTGGTCGAACTCAGATAAATAAAGAATCGAGCCCGAGATTAAGTATTAGTAGTTCGAGTTCAACTATAAACTTTTTTATCCTCAAATTATTAAACTACAAGTCTTTGTAAGGATCAGCTAAACCAAAATATTTTTTCCACAAGAACTTTCTCAATCAGCAACAACTCTTATTTTAGAAGGTGCAATGTTAAGGTTCTTAACAATGATTAAGTGGGAGATTAAGGTTTTCTAATTATAGGTAGCTTTATGTTTGAGAAAAGTAAAGACCAAGGTTTCTCTGTATAATATCATCTTTCTGTACACAGTATCTATCACACATTTCGTTTATTGCAAGCAAAGGAATGTAATAGTTATAGCACTCAAAAGACTGGTAAAAAATGGGGAAATCATTGTATTTCACATCTTTTCCCTTTCAAATAATGCATAATGAAGTTTTTTATTTTGTGCACGATAAAGAGGAGAATATTCTATTCATCATCTCATGAATTATGAATATTAATTGGTTAAACTATGCTTTTATTCATGAAGTGAATATATAATATCTTGAATTTGGCTCATGTGGTTATGAATTCATTTATTGTGACATAATATATTCGAAGAAGAGTATGCAATGTCTTATTTTCCTCGTTACATCTATCGATAAAACTAATGATAACAAAAGTTGTGGTTGAAAAATAACTTTAATTTCAATAATTTAGTACTCGGTAAATGACATCAAGAAATTTTGTTTTGGCAAAAGTTCTAAAAGTCACTAGACACTCATCAAGCATAGGGCTAGGGCCCAGGCAAGATCGTAAAAATATAATAGATTTATTTATATTTATCATCATGTATAACTTATTATAAGATATATAATACAAAACAAATTAACTAATATGTTCAAACACAAGTATATGAAAAATTCAATACTTTCATATAATTACTATATTAATTTTAATTTATATTTAACAATTATTTTTTATTTTATAGTTTCTTTTTTTTTTGCCAATTTTATTTTATAGNGGGCGCTTAGGCTACTTAGCTAGTATTGGGATGACTATTTCGCAGCAGTCTAGGCACTGCCTAATTGTCCGAACGCCTAGAATGACCGTCTAGACCATGGGCGGAGCCAAAATTTTGTGGAATAACTAGCTAGGACGACTGAAATTTTGACCTACGCTCTTCATAGTAATTAAGATTTAAGGGTGAATGGCGGTGTTGTTTGGTGCAAAAAAACCACATTGAATTATAAAAAATAAAAAAACAAAAAGTTTAAACTTATCAAAACTATAACCAAACCACGACGCATCATAGTAAAAAAAACTTAACCATATTTTTTTTTGCACAAAATAACTGAATGCACCGCGCGCCATATATATCACACAACTCGCCTTGATTTTTCTATACATTTGTCTTTACTTTGGTGTGGCAAACATAAAAAATGAAAATCGAAGTTTGTATAAGATTATGACTATACCGTAGTGCAGAAAAATATCAAAGCGAAAAATTTACTCTTAAATAAACCAAATTGCACTGTATCGAATTTCATGGTTCAGTTCGTTTTTTGGATTCAGTTTTGTTCCGCTGATCCTCAATAGTTACAAACTGAATAACAACAATTACAGTATCATTGATTACTTTTTCAACCATGTCCTTCCACAATAATTAACTTATGAAGTTAGCAAAAAAAAAAAGTAAACTAATAAAGCATATGAGTAATGTTACAGTGGGTTGCCAATTCAAACTCTGCAAGGCGATCGACAATCAAAGATCTCTGTGATCGACATTCGTTGACAAAGGTGATCACACGATCGACATGTTATGTTGGGCCGAATATACTTTTGTTCTCGGGCCTTGCTCAGGAATGACATGTTGTGGTGAAAATGAGTTAGATTTCTCTCGTAATTTTATGAGTTTTCTGAGAATGCTTAATAGGTATATACAACAAACATAAGATTAAAGGTACATAATTTTGGAAATTAAAAAGACTATACAAATTTAGATAATATTTAACTTAAAAATAATAAAAATTTAAAATTCTCCTAGCCTCAAATTCGATATAAAAATATAAAAATCTCCAACCATATTTATTTTATCTACTCGGAAAATAATTGGTACTAGTAATACCATTTTACAGTGTCACAAATTAGCGATCGGCAGCAGAACCAAACACCGTACGATGTCGTCTTCATTCGCGGACTCGTTCGACCAGTACGGCGGCGATTCACCGGCGGCCGGCGAGACTCACTTATTCGGCGACGGACACCTCGACCCCGACTCGTTTTCCAACTTCGATTCGGCTCCGGCCTACTCTCCGCCGCCGATCTACGCATCCGGGGGAGAATTCGGCTCGGATCCCGCGTATTTGTCATCGGAGACAAATAAAAATGGACCGATCCTGCCTCCTCCTACAGAAATGCAATCCGAGGAGGGTTATGCGCTCAGAGAATGGAGAAGGTTTGATCTTAATTACTTTTTCAATTTCCGGATTTATCTTTCGCCTCTGGTTTTTCTATAATTTTCTGTGCGTCTTCGTAGGCTTTATGCTTTTCTTCGTGTAAATTGGCTTTGAAATTTGTGCTTCTGTGTGAAATTGGGGAAATTGAAAATTGGTAACTAGTGAGATCTCCTGTGTTGGGGTTTCCAGTGATTGAGAATTGAGCACCTTTTAAGTTCCTTTAGCATTTTTCAGTTACTGGTTGAGCTTGTCCGTAGCCATTGAGGAATGGTTTTAGATCAAATGGCTTTGTTTATCTGTTGTATGTTTGATGGCCTCATTGTGATAGTGGTGAAAATTAAATACAAAATTAACATGTCTTGTGGACCATTATGTCAATGTGTAGGCTAGAACCCCATGCATGCTTGTCTGATTGTCCGGAGAGGGTTCAACTTCGAGAAAATCAGACCAAAGAACTCTCAGCTTCCCATTCTGTGAGATCAATCCTTGTTCAGTACCATTTAGACTAGAAATTAAGTTGACAAAAATTCGGCTCATTTCGGAGCTGATGCTATTTAAAATAAGGCCGTGTTTGTGGAGATGTAACCTTGCATGTTGTGGTTTGGGGTTGACAATGCTAAATATAATTTTGTTTGAAAAAGTTGTGTGGAAATCTTAGATACTATATAGCAGGTTTTTGTACCAAAGAGTACTACTCATTGAGATTTATAAATGTCACTGGATGTAACATAATATGGTTTTTAACAGAGCGGATTTGGTAGGAGGATTTAAGAGATTAGTTTTCTGCACTAGCTTTCAGGTCAAGTAAATCCATAGCTATTTACAATTCTAGTCATGTCCTCCGAGTGTTCTGTTCTTATTTTGTTGTGTTGTCTGCAAATAGATGACAATGGTTGTATTGTATGTTTCATTGGCACTCACATTTTGCTGAGTTTCTTGTCTTGATTTGTTTGTTTCTAACAGACAAAACGCGATTCGATTGGAGGAGAAGGAGAAAAGGGAGAAGGAAGTATTGAGCAGAATTGTTAATGATGCAGAGGAGTACAAGGTTGAGTTTCACCGAAAGAGGCAACTCACTTGTGAAACCAACAAAGCTACAAACCGGGAAAAGGAGAAAGTGAGTGAGAAAATATTGTCCATATCCCTAGTAAATCATCATTCATATACAATCGTGCTTCCTTCCCAATGCTGTGCATGGATTGTGATTCATCTATAGGAATTTCGTTCTAGAAAAAATGTTCTCTTTATTGCATTGAATATCAAAATCTCTTTCCCCCCCTTTTTTTCATTATAATCAGGTATTTCTTACTGGCCAAGAGAAATTCCATGCTGAAGTCGACAAAGATTACTGGAAATCGATAGCTGACCTAATTCCAAGAGAAGTCGCTACAATTGAGAAGAGAAAAGGCAAGAAAGAGCACGAGAAGAAATCCACAATAGCCGTGGTCCAAGGGCCTAAACCTGGAAAACCGACTGACTTAGCCAGAATGCGCCAGATTCTTGTTAAGCTCAAACAAAACACCCCACCCCACCTGAAATCCTCTCCACCGCCAGCAACTGATGCTAATGCTGCTGCCCCAAAGGCGGCAACTACTCCACCTGTGGCTGTTGCGTGATTGTGGTAGGTTTCATGTGGCTTTTGGATGTATAAACAATTGATATTTTTAAGACTTTTGGACAAGAGATTAAGCGATTTAGTGTTTGGTGGATTTGTTGCATGAATAGTAGTATCTATGAAGTGATTCAAGAACCAATTACTTTGTTTTAAATATTTTGTGGGTCGAAGGGTTTGATAGTGAAGCTCCCTTTAGATTTTGCCGGATTATGATAAAAACGGAAAAAAGGACAGTAGTTTATTATATTATACTATACTTCCGTGACATATTCGACTTTAAGTTATTTGGAAATTTGGGATCTCAAAAATGTTTTTGATAGTAAGGATGATATTTCGTTGGGTAAAATGAGTATAATTTCATACTTCTACAAAAAAGTAGCTATTATTTTATCTTTTCAAAAGTAGCTATAATCTCATACTTCTACATTGTCATTTAGTGATATTACCACTACTAATATAAACCTCAAGGACTGTGTTCCGAACGTACACTCAACTTTATGTCATGATTTACCACGCATATTATTATATATTTTTTTTCAAATAAAACTTTCCATCTTGTTGAAGCTACTTGCCTACTTTACAGCCACAGTTGGCAATCATTTCTCAGTAAAATTTAGAAATTGCAGAAAATGTGTAGAAACTGTTGCTATTCAATGTAAGTCTATTTTGTGGGGGGGAAAACAAAGGACTTGGATAGATATGGTGGTCCAATTTCTCTGAACTACAAGTTGAAAATATATGTAATGCATGTGAGCTGTAGCAAGCCTTTGAAAGGACCATTTCTTAGTGCAGGTTTTGAGTTTCACATAATTGCTTTTGCCATGAGATGGCCCTTTGGATTTGATCTCATAAAACAGAATCCTTTGTCCGCTTCAATGATTAAACCAAACCACCTTATAACAGAATTTGTACAGCTTTGAACTAGATGATAAACTTTTTTCATCACAAATTAAAAGTACCACAAACAAAAACACCGACTTCATATTTATCGTATTCTTCGAAAGATTCGTGGTTTTCAAAAGTTTCAACTGGAGCGATCACAAGCAAATCACTGGTTACGAACATGAAAAATCACTAAAACAATACAGAATAAAATCTGAATCAGGACAACCTCAGTCAATCTCGATTCATGAATTTGCACAGAATCTAGTAAACTACAAGCTCAGAAGACACCGATCTATGTGTCCCGAGTGCCTACCAATAATACAAAGACATCAAGTGAACCATGCATAGAAATTTACATCAATATTATGTAGCACAAAAACCAGTTCATTTTTATATATTCTCATATTCTTTTTCCCTCACAGGGAATAGTCACAATTCTCAGCGCGGTTAAAAACAAAAAAAAAAAAATCGCACGAGATGGCATCAAGAAAAAACCCACCATTCACCTCCCACGTAAGCTGGCCGCTGACTAAATCCCCTTATCGCTGCTGACATCATCGTCCACCTCATGCCCGTTATTGACACTCACTTCAGAGCTCGCGTTGCTACTCGTCGCAACTGGAGAATCCGATACACTAACGGTTCTTCTCGTGGGCCCCACTCGCACACTATACATAGACGCTGCAGGAATATTCGTCATCAGAGGCCTCAGAGTACCTGGAATCGTTCGCCTTATATCCTGCACACAAAGATCTTATATTTGATTATTTTCAACATAAAAAAAAAAGAATGAAAAAAATTTCGAATTTTACCATAAACATAATTACCATGTGTCGAATCGCCATATCCAAAGACTTCTTCGAAAGCGTTCTCCCGAACCCCTCGGGAGACGACGACGACGATTTTCCCGATAAATTACCGCGCGGTGAATTCGAATTCTTAATAACATCCTGTTTAGGTGGCGCGAGTTTTCTCATATTTATAACCCGTTCGACCATCTTAGTCCCGACAAGCACAGGGCTCACGTTATCGTTCGCCTTGGCTTGCAGCCGGCTCAAGCCCGGCACGGGCAACGACCTCCCGCTGCTCCGGGAAGAGATGGTATTTGCCGGACGCCCCCTCGCCGGAGAGCACGACTGCCGCCTGACCCGCTCGACCGACGAGGATCGTGGGCCCGGGCTGGGCCCGGGCCGGCCTCGGGCCGCAGATGGGGGCCGGTCGGCTACGGAAGTTCTTAAGTTGGGCGGGGCGTCGAGCGAGAACCCGGGCATTTCCGAGGGCTTCCATATTTTGGGCCGGACGGTCGGGGATTTGGGCTGCGTTGGGCCCGGAGTACCGTTTGTGGGCCGGCGGGTTGGTGTCGAAGCCCGGGAAGTGGTTCTTGCCGGAGGAGGGGCTCTGGTGGTGGTGGTGGGGACCGTTGATCGAGTCGGGGTCGAGGATCTGCTGGCGGCGGCGGTGGGTCGAGACGAGGAGATCGTGGGACGAGAGGTGGTGGGGGTTGAGGATCGAGAGGGTTTTGATGACGACGTGGCGGCGGGTGCTGATCGGGATGATGAGGTGGCGGTGGGCTTGGATGAGGTGGCGGTGGGCTTCTTGTTGGATGTGGGCCGGGAGGATGTTGAGGTCAAAGTTGGGCGGCTTGTTGGAGTCGAAGGTCTTGAGCCGGGCCCGCTGGAGGAAGACGGCCGGCGAGATGGATTGCTTCGGGAGGTGGGTTCCGGCTGGGAATTGGATAACTTCGGAAAGGGAGAGAAAATTGCAAAAGGAATAAAGTTAAATTTAATCGCCTAGTTATTAAGTGTTTGTATGTAAAAAAAATTCAGTTCATACTTAATTCATACTCAAAATTTAACTCAGTTTTAATTTAACTCCACTATCATCAATATTATCAATATAATTAAATAATACCAACCAATCATACTTACACATCTGCATTAATTTTAATTTACTATTCATCCACTCACATAATTTTAACCAATTATCACTTAACATCATTTCTCTTCCACTTTTTCATGAAATCAACTTTAATTATTTTATTTTAAATATTATTTTAATATAAAACCAAAATCCCATTAACAACTAACCATACCACTTTTTTTTCAAAATTAACTCTGATTTACAAAGAAAAAACTCATTTTGAGCGGATATATTTGTATACAAACACGCCCTCGCAATTATATGGTATGCCTCAACGAGTTTAGCGAGTAATATTGGTTCATTCAAGCCCCCTACGAATTTATCTATAACTTTTGGTTTTCGACAGACGAACAGGTTCACGAGTTTTTAGAAGTTATAAACTTATAATAGAAAGCTAGTCCATCCATTTCCACTTACTCTAGACTTCAGAGCTGTAGGTCGAGCTTTTGGAGTTCCAACCTGGCTCGTAACAGTTTTGTGTTTTTCCATCTCCAGTGAGGGAAACAGGGGAGTACCAGGAGGTGTCAAAAGCCTGGAAAAAAAAATAATAATTAAAAAAAAAAAGAAAAAAAAAAAAGAAGAAGAAGAAGAAGATGTAAGTCTAAAATCAAATAGAGACCATCTGGAGAACTGGGGGTATAAATTAGATAAACCGAAGGAAAGCAAAGCCGAATTCCTGTTAACATGCCTGACAGTGATGCATCTACATTTAAGATGACCAAAATTTGACTTCAACTTTAAACTACAGTGCAAGTTGGGAAAGCTATTGCCTTTTTTGTACAGTATCGTGAGATTCATAACATTAAATTTTGTTCACTTTCATTATGCTAGTAATTTTGTGGACACTGCAAAAACTGGTGGAAAATTAGAATAAGATGATCCAACTCTCAAAACACACTGTTCAGTTTTTCTAGAATAAAACTTATCCTTAAGAAACCTGTTGGAGGAGTTAAATAAACCATTATCCTGAAAGAAGAAGTAGTCAACTTAAATGACTTTTATAGTCAGAATCTCGTACCAATTTTCCACAAAAGTAAGAGGTTAAATAATAACAATCAATCATTAAATAATAACAAACAATTATTTTTACACATCGTATCAACTTTAATTCACTATTCATCCACTCACATAATTTTAACTAACTATCACATCATATCATCTCTCTCCTACTTTTACATCAAATCAATTTTAATTATTTTATTTTCAATATTATTTTAATATAAACTCAAAATCTCACTAACAACTACCTGCACCACTTTTTCTAATTAACTCTAGTTAACTCAAAAAAAAATCACTTTGAGTTAATTCACTCAAATTATTCCTTTAACAAACACAACCTATGCCTCCATTCATATGGTAATAGAACATAAGCAATTTTCATCTGAGATGACCTTATACCCGATAATTTTCTCATCTCCATTGAAGTTGAGTGTTTATCGTACTCATAAGTCAAATTTCGCTCTAGTATCCAAATAGCCATAAGTCAAATTTCGCTCTAGTATCCAAATAGCTCCTAGTGTAGTTATATGCTTTCAGTTAGGTAAATTTAAGGACAAAGATAAAAATCAAGTATGCGAACTAGAAAAAGAATCTCCAAGTTATCCTTTCTATTTGTCTTCGGCTAACTTGTCTCATGCAGATATCACCTTCGTAAGGCTCAATAAGTCAAACCATGCATGGCCAGTCAAAAGAAGTTCATGTATATAAAATTGCCAGAAAGCAAGCTGCAAATTACCAGTCATAGTCATTTTTATCATTTTCAGAATTGAGAAAATTGTCAGGGCCAGTTTTTCGGCCAGGAGCAGATGTAGCCGAAGGTATATTAAATATTGGAGAAGTGCCATGTCCTGCAGGTAGAAAAAACAAAAAACAAAGATGAAAACGAGGAATAACAAAACAAACACCAAATCAACACAAAGATGGGCATAGTAACAAAAAGAACATCTAAATATAATCCAACACAGAAACATCAAGAACCAAATCAAACATTCGAAAACAAAACAAAATCTACATGCTGAATTCCCCAAAACATTTTCTTAAAAAACAAAGGGAAAAAAAAAAACAGTACCAAACCAAGAACCGCCTAATCTTAGCCACCAAAGACATCAAGCATGGTCCCAATGTAAAAAGGAGAAAGCACAAATAAATAAAAGAAAGCAACAAAATCGGAACTTTTTTTTCGGCCATACCAAGTGGAGCCTCAAACTCATCCGCATTCTGAAGAAGAAGATCGTTTCTTTCCTTCTCACGCTTTCGCATTTCACGAAATAATGCCAAATCCTCGTCCCTGTTATCCTTCAATCTCAGGCTCCCCATTTGCCCCTTCTCAAATGCCCTAAAACTTCGATTCATACCGAACTGTAAAAGAAATAACTGCCAATTCGTGAGAGTATCACCCAATTTACCACAAACGATTCATTATTTCGAAGCTTCAGAAACCCTAGCTTCGCCTGAACCACCAAAATCACGCCTTTTAAGCTTCAGGGACGCAAAAGCATCCTCAGATCGATAATCGAGCTGCGTAATTCAACAACAGGCAGTTGAAAATCATTCGGGCATTCCAATTCCTCACATCAATAACTGATAAAAATCCGCATTTTTTACACTAAACATGTTATTGATAAAACCCAGATAGAAACTTACAGTACGGATCTCTCGACGTCCACAATCTAGGTCGTAAAACAGATCTCAGGTCACCGGAATATCCAAAAATATTCCACGGTTAGGAATAAATTATTATCCACTAAATTCTTCGTTGTTCTTTCTTTCTTCGTCCTCTCCGAAATTCTTACAGCCCAACGGTAGGTTAGTGAGAGAGAGAGGAAGAGAGAGAATGAAGGAAATAGAGAGAGGGAGGGGCAAATATTGCAATTTCGAGAGAGAATAGGGTCCGAATGAGGAAATATAAAGTTTAATGATAAAACATGGTTTTTATTACTTAGGAGTATATTAATTTCGCAATTTTTTCTCGGTCTCTACCCGGTTCAAGAAATATACTCATTAGCTCGAATTTTGTTCTGTTCGAGTTTCAAACAAAAAGAAAAAAAATCTATTCAATTTAAACAAATTTTTTTCAATTTGACTTGAATTTAGCTTGAAGTAGGGATTTCGGGTAAATACAAAGAGACTCATCGAGTTCTCGAGTTTATAACAAATATATTCAAGTTTGATTCGAGTTTGAGTACTCGAGTTTGAATCGACTTTAATTCGAGACTCACAAACAGTTCGATTCATTTACGGCTCGGTGTGTATCTTACAAACTTAAACAAATTCAAGTTATAAAGAATATGTTACCAATATTTTGATAAGTTCTCTTACTCCATTTTTTTGCGCTCATTCATTATTTTAAATATATATTTTATACAATTTTGCTATAGTCATCGGATGACTTAGGTTATGGAGTCATCCACACTTATTCACCAATAGTGTATTGACACGTATCATGCAATAAATACACTTTGGACAAGTGTCAATACATTAAGTGGTGGATGACTCCATAAGAAAATCATCCGATGACTCCATAGAATTTTTGGTATTTTATAACAGAAATAATAAGTTTAGAAATATGAATCTATACTTATATTAAAATGTATACCATTTACCAGATTTAGTATAAAGAAAAGTCAACAACATTTATTGCATTACTATTTCCGTATTATACAATCTATACTTATATAAAAGGAGATTCTATTTACTATATTTACTATCCAGAAAAGTCAACTGCATTAAATGCCATTACTATTTTGGTATTATAATATTTTATTTATTTAATTGATTTATTTATTTGTTTTTTAAAAAAAGTAAGTATAATAAAAATATTTTAATAATAGAAAAATTAAATACCAAATAAAAATGTACACTTTGACTTATTTGATTATATTTGGTATTTGATTATACCAAATATATTCCTATGTATATACATTAAATACTTACTAAAGTATTTATTTGTCAAAGTTAAGTATAGATTTGTTTATACTATCAAATCATAAAAAAAAAATATTAAATCCATATTGTAAAAAAATAAAATTAATATAATTATATAACAATTCTACTACACTGTTTAATAATATTTCTTTTTTATTATATAATAAAATAATTATTAAATATTATATAGTAAACAACAATAAGTAAAACTGTTACTTTCTCTTATATCAAGAGATAAATTTATATGCTAAAATTAAATTTTTATTAGTATAAATATTTTAGTACAATGAAAATAGCAAGTCAGCTATATATCGATTTGTTGTACTCCTCAAATCACATTCACCATTTGCCTACAAGGAAATGATACTCATTGATTAAAATATTATTTTGTCAGTAGTCTTAATGTACAAGAGACTTTAAGACTCCACTTGAATATTATAAAACTTTTATTGAACATTGTACAATTTTCTTGCGTATTATAAACTTTTATTGAAGATTGCATCTTATAATATAATATTCTCTAAATAAATATATCTCGTGCTTTGCACGGGTCACGTACTATATATATATCCCGTACATTTTTCTTTATTCATGTATATAATTATAAGCATCGATAAATAGCCTTAAAATTGTGCACCCTGTGGATCGCACGGGCTCTGTACTAGTATATATAATAAGAATTACTATTTTTTAAAAATAGAAAGTTAAATTTTAGTCGACATTAATTACCTACCATTCTTAGTAATTTTTTTTCCTAATAATCATATTAACAATATATTAAAAGAGTGATTAACATGCTTTGTTATATAGATACGTGATTTTCACTTAAAATTGAAATGGTAACAGGCTTTGTTCATTAAAAATTGACAAAATGTTAACAAGATTTTTCAATTTATGAGGCTTTGTTCATAAATTTTTCAACATGTAACAGCATGTTAATCATTTTCCAAAGCCTGTTAATACATTTCAAGTTTTAATAAGAATTACCATGTGAATATGACAACAATATTTATTTTTTAAATCATTTCAATTTTTAATATTCCCCAAACTTCAAATAATCATATTAACAATACGTTTATATGACAACATGTTTAATGATTAATGAATATTTATATATCATCTTATTAATATTTATGTGAATAAAATAATATTTCATTATATTTTTTATTAATGTACAGTGAATATGGTTTTCAGAATCGAACCATCATCGAAACGATCAAGTTATTCTATAAATTATTTGTAGTTTGTTCAGATTTTAATTTATAAATATTTTAATATCAATATATATATATATATCTAGAGTACTTTTTGTAATAAATTTTAATAAAATGTGTTACTTAAATATCTAAATAATTTATAAATTCAAAAGTTAAAACTAATTGATAAACAATTTATAAATCTCTATTTTATTTAAATATGTAATTTTATTTAAAAATAATTTTAAATGTAACAAAATTTATTTAGAAAATCGTAACGATCCTACCAGTCCAACCGACTGATGTTGACGGATTCAACAGTAAATATTTTATTCAAGCGAACTATACTGTTTATAACCTGGTTCTCGGTCCATCCGGTCGGACTGTGTCCAACCTGGTTTAATTTAAAAACAATAGATAAATCATAATTAATGATATTATATATTTAATTTATAATATAATCGTAATATTATTTCTCGTGCATCGCACGGGCCACGCGCTAGTGTAATTTAAATACATAAATAAAATAGTTATGACATTAAATGCAAATATAACTAAGAAAGGAAAAAATGATTAAAATTTACGGCTACTTAAATGTAACTTGTGGCAATAAATAAGTTTGGCGAAAATATTTATAGCCTGTTTCTATAAAAGATTAAAATCTTTAATGTTTTCACTTTAAAAATAGATAATTCGTGGGGTTTAATTGTCTGCCAAACTGGCAAATTAATTCAACTGCATCATACTTCAATACGTAAATTAGGTTAAAGGAATATAAATTTTATCATTATTATGAAATAATATAGTGAAAAATACCATAAAACTTTGACACCTGGTGAATGAATAGGCAAAAATTTGGTGGTCCATCGCCATTAAGAGATTATTTCATGGCACATTATTGATTGGAATTGGGAATAAGTCCAAACCACCTTTCGAGTCAATCACAAGACCATTGAAACTATTGTATTAAAAAAAAGTTGTACAAATTTCAAGACCTGTTTATATCTAATTTTTTTTCATTGCTAGTAATTATTTGTAACTGTTCTACCAGTCATATCCTTGTACAAATTTAAAAATATCGTTATTATACCTAACGTAAGAGAAAAAACTAACTAAGAACAAAAAAATATGAATAATTACTAAGAAAAATATACATTATAATTTTGGAGATTTTATAAAAGAAATGGTATCACTATTGTGAAATAAGTATATAATATATTACCTAAATTTATGATTTAAATAAAGCTTGATAATGACTATAAAATCATACAATAATTGTTAATTCTGCAACACTCTTTTTAAAAAAAAACAAGAGAAATAATCAAAATTATATTGAATTTTATCTAGAATGAGTATTGAGGATCCAAAGTCTAGATCCAGACCTTGATTTGATTGATATTATTTGGTGGGACTCACTGCTCAATAAAGATATTCAACTAATTATATTTTTATTTCCATTTCTATACAAATATACCATATTCAAATGCCTCATGTTCAAATTTGGATCAACACTCATAAGTCATAATAGTTATAATAATTCAAGCTAGCTCAATTTAGACTCTTTGTTCTTTTATCCTTTTTTTCTATTATAATCATTGAAATTTTAATCATTAAAACTTAACTAGCAATATTCTCTTTGTTAGAACAATTATGATCTCCCATTTGTTTGGACTTAAAAAAAAAGACTTTTATATTATATGTATAACAAGTTTATATTATGGAAATAATTGTTTTATATTAATACAATTAATTTTCATGCAACAATGATAGACATTAATTTTTGGTAAAACTTTCACAAGTTCACTAAAGACTATGCAACAAATGTAACTATACTATTACAGTATACAACAAAATACGTTTTCACTAATATCGTTATAATTTCGATATTTTACTGTTAATTATTCGTTTCTAGTCATATGATATTCACAATCTTATATTATAGAAATAGGATAAATTAATTAAAAAAAACATGGTAAAAAAAAATGANTGTGTATGAAAAAAAAAAATGTTTAGTAAATGATTGATTGCCCATTATCTATGGTAGATGCTTTATGGCATGACATTAGTTGACTTATAAAATACTATTCTCTCTATAAAATACCCCAGTTGGACCAACAACTACCTCTTGCTTGCTTGATATCCAAGATTGCCCAATTATTGTTGGAATTTTTTAGTTGTATTTGATAAAGTTAATTTTAATTTTATTTTACTTTACTCAATTGCAGTAATAATATTTGTTTTGACTTAAAAAAGGGAAACATATCATGAATTGTGTCAGTTCAGGAGGAGTTCACAAGGCCCACAAGATCCAATCTATTATGTGGTATATAAGTTGTATATGAAGATTATAATTTTTAACTATAATCTCTCGTTTATGTGCAATGTAACCATTATTAATTATTATTATTATTATTGATGTAGTTATTAGCTGATTTTTCTATTCTTTTTTGCAAGTATTTTCTCACATTAAATAAGACAGTGTTTGACATTTTCTCTTTGATTGCAGGTATTCCATTCTTTTCAATCATTTAATAGTTTATTGTTTTAGAACTTTGTCATCATTTCAATTATTTATATGAGACCAAGAATCCAATTTGAAGTCTAGCTTAAAATTATGAGTAAATTAAAATGGTAACCACCACTTCACACTTGAAAATGCAGAATAATATATTAATGTAGCTAGGACAAAGAGCAATTTTTTATAAAAGTAAAATACTAAGGTTAGGTCAAAAGCTAATTATGTATTGGTATGCGGTAGTTGGAAAATAGCTTAAAGGAAAATTTGAATTGGTTTAGCTATTATTTTACATGTTTTTTTATTATATTATTTATGTTTTATTATTTTATTTTTTTTTTGGTTGTAAAAAATATAACATTCAAAATAAAACCATACATATATATAATGCAATTTAAAAATTAATGACAAAAATAAATAAAAAACAAATTATTCATACACTATAAAATTTATTATACTTGTAATTAAAATAAAAAATCGTACATGTAAAAGTAAAATGAGATTTGAAGGTAAATAGTGTAAATTTTTCTTTTGGTTTATTAGTTTCTAAGATGAACGGTAAGACGGTGTGAGGCAAAACTACGTATATTTTCATAAACAATTGACCTATTTTAAATCAAAATAAACAAAAATATCATATTCTCAATATAAGTATATTTTGTTCAAAAAGTATGATTGATTGACCCGCCTAACTATAGATAAAGCAGTTAAACGAAACGGACCGCTCAACTTAGCTCGAACTTGGCTTTTTAATATTGATAAATGAATCGAAGTTGAGCTAGATTAGTGGCTTACTAAAGCACCACGAGCTTTAGCTCGACTCGTTTACACCCCTAACTGTTGATCTATCTCACACTAGAATTGTCAGACGAAAAATCTTGCTAAACAAGATCACCAGATCTTTCTAAGGGCTCAATTGGTGTGCTTAGTTGAAATAATTGAGAGTTGTTGATAATTGATAATCACAAATGTTGTTGTTAGCTAAACCCATAGATAGTAATAGTTTTTTGTACAAAAAAAATGCATATAATGCCATACTCATAATCATATAGCATTTGATAATTTGAATTGATTGGAATTATTATTTTTAGACATGGCTAGCTATCATGAGCTAATTGAAAATTTTTACCAGACAACACCATGATAAAGCTTATTAGAAAAAAAAAAAAAGATATTCATTCAAAATGTCAGATCAAACACCAAATATTTTCACCTATTGATTTGGGAGAGTTCTACTATCTCAAATTTTATAAAAATTGAAGGTGTCGATTTACCCTAAATCCATGCAAACGGGTAAGACCTGCACAATCACAAAAATGTTAGCTGCAAATAAACCGCATGCTAGACATTTATGTGATATACGTCAAACACAAAGCCATTTTCAAACAAAACGAATCAAAAGACAAAGACTAGAAAAGCAAGAATGTGTTCAATCTTTGAAGAACAGACTAGAATCAGTGTTTGAAGGAGCAGATAAGGCCCCCAATCAAGTTTTGACATATGTACAATGAAGTGAAACTGAAACATGATATTATAACATGAGCTGCAGTTGAAGGAAAGCATTAGAAAGAAGAAGTGAAGAACGTACAATTGGAGATGATGGCTTTTTCTTTTTCCATTTTTTTTCCTTTAACTTGTTTCTCTTAATTTTTTTTTTCTTCTTGAATTTAAAGGTTAAAATCCAATGTCATCACTGTCATCATTTCCACCAATATTTTCTTCATGGCTTGCCCAATAGCTGCTTCCATTTGGCCCGGAGATCTTAAACCTGTTCCAGATAAAATAATTACTCAAAACTATGCAAATCCTATATCACTCATTTATTTAGAATATTTAAAGTCTGGATAAATCTCAGTGTAGAGAAACATTTGTCAATGTAGTATTTGCAATTTTGACACATAGATTAGTGTTTCTTCTCTCTATTTTTTTTTTTTTGTCTTGGTGTTAGGCTAAGCAAGAAATGTTGCTTTGTAATTAATTAATTAATCCTTTTGATTATGCAACTTTAAAGAACACCCACAGACCTTTCGAGAACTGATTTCCCTTCCTTGTACTTTTGACTCTTTTCATGAGCAACTTCCTGGAGATGAATTATGCAAATCATCACAACTGTACATGCACAATTTCACGAACATGTAACTTTGCTGTATAATTTTAATTTTTTATTCTTCTATGTGGAGCTTACATATTTCCATCCAACAATTGAACCACATCGAACACAGAATATATCCACCACTATGTGTGATCCAGTCATCATCAACCTCTCCTCTTTCTCCCCGTAAGTTACATTTACTCTGAAAGAGGAATATAAACCAAAAGGCTACAATTTTCAGATCATATAAATATAAAGATAGTAAAATTTTTTCTCTTCCCATTGCTTTCTTCAGCTCAGAGTAAATACAACACTGTAACTAATTTTCACTAATCAAGACATCTTTTCATTACAACAGAACAAAAATAAAGGTTAACTGAAGAGAGTACCCTTAAGGTTTCACCTAATTCTCTTAGTTAATTTTCAGAATTACAATAAATATACTCTTCGCAAGCTAGCAATAGCTCACGCAGTACCTTTTTCAGCATGCATTAATACAAAGACGTTAAAAAGACATATCGGATAAGAAATATTTTCATTACAAGAATTTTTGGCTTTACTTATAAAACTAATCTGACAAACTTAAAATCCTTGCCAACTGATTTCCAACACCTAAATAGATGTCACTAGATGCCTTTGAGAAAGTGCTTACTAGTTTTCATTGTCTCAACTTAACACCAGCTGGCAGAAAAAAAATCAAGAAAAACTTACACCTTACTGAAGAGATAAGCCTTCCCATGTCTGGAGTGGAAAGACTGAAACCAAAAACAGGGAAAAAAAAAATAAAATCTCGAAAAATGAAAGAAAAAAAAAAAAGATGCTCATTTGGTTAAGAAACCCAAAATTGCAACAAGCCAAAACCTTCATTTGGAAAAATTATCAATCAATAGAATATTCGACATATATCAAGTCTCAAAAATCTCAAATAACGGTGTAGTCTAAGGTGAAGCCATTGAATTCTCACTTATTCATTCATATCATATGCTAAGCCTTTACAAAAAGTCAATCGTGTTAAAAATTTGACATGAGTGGCCAATAATATCCTTGCACTAATAAAAAATTGCCAAATCAAGACGTTAGCGCAAACAGCAAACGAGAATGGCATCACAATTAACCAAAGAATGTGAAACTAATTAGAAATTGAAATTATAACTACCTATAAACTATCTAAAATCCCCAAAGAATCAATGATCAACTCAATCATTCAGATCAAACAAATCATTTAAATGAAGAGTTGAACCATACCAATCTCTAGAAAGAACCATGATCATTTAAAAGACAAAAACCACAACAAGTAAACTAGACTGAAAAACTTATTGATCAAATACTCATTAATCTATCTCGACAAGGTAAATGTGTAACTTTCAATGTCGAAACAAGTGAACGCTGCAGAAGATTATTCCTAACTCACACTGATCCATAAATCAAAAAACCAATATATCTCTGCAAACAAGACTTGTAAGTGGCATCATACAGAAAAAAACCATCTTTTAAAGCAAATTTAATCGTACTCATCGAATTATCAAAAAATGAGGGCAAAAAGGGGGAAAAAATCAACAAAAACAAAATATCCTATTACTACCATCAACATAAGGCATATTGTAAGATGAACACGACCAAAACAGAAATTATTGCTCCCAATTTGAGGATCTTATGGATTTTTCACGGGAATCGAAAAGGGGGTATGAATAGAGAACCTTTGAAACGATGTCGTCGCTGAGAGCAAGATGAGTTCCACAGTGCTTGCATCTGTAGATCAAGCCTTCGAGGGTAATTGCAAACACCCTTCCCATTTTCCTAAATTCTCAGCTCTTTCTTCTTTCTTCTTTCTTTTTTTCTCTCCACGGCACGAATGATAAAAATGGCGACACAAAAGTACAAAGTCAGAGTAAAAAAAGGGAGGAAAAACGAAAAGAAAAGAAAAAAATAAAGAGAATGTATAAAATGAAACCAACCCCAATTCGTGTTGCACTGCACTACTCTACTTTACATGCTATTTTAGTTATACCGTTGAATTTAAATTTTAACGAGTCGGAATTAAATTACAATGGACTCAATTATAAAAATTTATATAAAAATTTTATATCGTTGCAGATATTTTGTTTTTATTTCTCAAGTAAGAGTGTATTTAACTTACGTGATGCATATTACCTTTTGTATGAGCTGAGTATGTATTCCTTTTAGTTATTTAGTATAATTCTATCTATATCTATATCTATATCTCTATATTTATATTATATCTATATAATGGATTAATCCTTATTGACAGAATTGACATGATTTTGAGCGGAAAATTTTTTGTCTATATTTGACATTTAATTAATCTTCTCTATATATAATTTCACGATGGATCGAACCTACGTAGCAAACTCTCACGCTTCGTAATCCTATTTGGCAAAAAATAATGCTTTGGAGTTAGACTTGGATATAAATTAACATTTCTTATCGCACTAAATCCATGAATGAGATTTTCATTTAGTTACCATAAATTATTATATTTCTTTTTTCTACATTACCATGCATTACATATCATTTTCTTATTTAATTCATTCATTAGTTACTATAAATGTTTCTTCTTCTTATGATATATTAAATTAAATATCTTTTAACGATTTTCGATTTGACATCCATATTATATATATAAAACACAAATTAGTAATATATATTCTTATAAATACTGTAACAAAAGATCTGAGTGGTACTAACCGACTATTTTTGTGTTGATAATAAAATAAGGCCTATTCGGCCGCAGCCAATGATCCTATGGGCCAAAATAGTCTGGGCGGCCTGAATGGCCCAACACAAAATACATTTTAGTTTAGAGCAAAAATTCATAACTGTCCTTTTTTCTTTACAAAATTTTCCTAAAAAAAAACAATTCTTTTTAAAACTATCGGAAATATTACTAATAGATATCTATTCAAATCAAACGGTTGTTATGTCGTATAATTCCTTATAACTAGTTATATAACTTCTCTATATGCACAAAAATAAATAAAGTATTATAAATTATGTATATAAATATAATATTAAAATTACATAATAGACTTATCATATTTCATATATAAATAAAGTATGTTATATTATGTATATGAATATAATATTAAAGTTATAAATTAGACGATTGAGATATCATGTTTAAGGGTAGATACTATGTGTGCCAGAACACGTTCCGGAGGGAATGGGGTACTTCGGATACGGGAAAATTCGATTGGACGTGGACCTCATTCACGCTGGTTAGGCGGCTGAAGATAAATATTTATTTAATATTAAGCAAAATAGATTAATTTTTTTTATTTAAGTCGTGCTTTTTTAACTTTATATGTAATTTTAGAACTTAGATAAATAATTATTTATTTTTATTACATTGACAACATAAATATAATTTATTTATTTTGCAATTCAATGGTTATAATAGGAAATTATATTAAAATACAATTAATACAAATATTAATTTATATCCAAGCCTCTACGTGGCAAACTCTCACGCTTCGTAATCCTATTTGTCAAAAAAATAATGCTTTGGAGTTAGACTTGGATATAAATTAATATTTTTTATCACACTAAATGCATGAATGATTTTTTCATTCTTTACTTCTACGGTTAGTTACCATAAATTATTATATTTCTTTTTTCTACATTTATTTAATTCATTCATTAGTTATTATAAATATTTCTTCTTCTTATTTTTAGATTTTATAACTTATTTGTTTGTATTTTATTTTTATATATGATATATTAAATTAAGTATCTTTTAACGATTTTTGATTTGACATCCATATTATATATATAAAACACAAATTAGTAATATATATTCTTATAAATAAAATTTAAGTGTATTTATCAAACTAAATTAAAAGATATCAAATAAAACTATAAATTATATTATAAAGTAATAGGAATTGGTCTGTATTCTTGTAAAAATGATATTTATTTCAAATCTAATTGGTATGTTATTAATCTAATAAAAATAAATAATTATTTATCTAAATTCTAAAATTACATATAAAGTTAGAAAACTGTAAAGCACGATGGAAACGACACTTGATGTAGTAGACATTTAATTAAGTAAAAAAATTAATCTATTTTGCTTAATATTAAACAGACATATTATGCACTTATGCATATGCATATCACCATGTTATTTCTATTTATTTAAGATACATTTTTTTTTACTTAATAATAGTAAATAATATCGATAATTTTATATGATATAAGTAAAAAAATTTAATATAAGTTGACATTTTTATTTAATATACGGGTGTTTAATTATTATGATTAAAAAATATAATTTGACAATTTAATTAAAACACAAGTAATGTTTTATATAAAATTAAATTATTTTGGTTAAAAAAATAATATGTTTTACATAAGCTTCCTAATTCAACACCCGTGTATTTACACGTGGATTGTACTAGTATTATTTATTAACAAATCTTATGCATGAAAAATATAATTAATTTTTATACACTAAATGACTATTATCATTAACTACAAATTGATTTAAATTGAAATTTTGACCGTAAATTTATTATATATTTTCAATAAGATCTTATATTCATTTAAGAGTAATTTATTGACACAATTAATGAAAGAAGACATAAGGAGTAATTTTCACATTTCCCTTTAGGTGGCCAGCCCATGAGCCATTGTAATTAGTCTAATATTACTAAACTATATGGGCCTCATTTTTTTATAATTGGGCTTTCTACAAGAAGGCCCGAATATTTTGGGCTACCAATACAATTGGCAAAGGGAAATTACGAATGCTGCATGCAGATCACAACAACACTATTAACTAAATAAACCAAACCAAATGGGCCCTATAGTTTTGTTTAAAACGAGAAAAAAAAAAAAGAGGAAAAAATTAGTGTAATTATCAAAACCATTGTCCAATCAAAACTTTAGAAAAATATTTGATGAAACATACATTAGAAAATATTAATTAGAAATCTATATAATATAAAAGGGTTCGACACATTTTTCACTCTTCAAAGCAAATAATATAAACTCGTTTTTTCCCCTTATAATTTGAACTTTTGCATGCTTATTTCATATTCGGTCAGATTGTAATGCTATACCGGCAAAAGAATAAAATAGTCATCGAGATAAACGTCTTGTTCGACGCTTAGTGTATATTGGGTAGCTGATTGTATACGTAGTTAGCTAATAGTTGATTGTGCTAACAAAATGATTAGCAGATTAATATATAAAGGTTTGATAAATAATTTATAGCGGGTGTTAGATTTCTCATGTGAAATGAATAATAGCATCATAAAAAAAATTATTAGGTATATTTATTTATAATATAAATATATATTGCAAATTTATTGTGAACAATTAAATGTTATTAATTCAAAAAGATAGTTGGTTTGAAATTACTAGATATACAACTTTTAAGCTGCTAATTTAAATATATAAAGTAAATTTATTACATGTAATTATTACTAATAGTTAATTAATACGTTTAGTATATATTGATTGTTTTTTGTTTAATTAATGTTAAATATTATTAATAGAAAAATATATAAACCTACCTTTTACAACAAAATATCCATTTTTCATTCACTAAAAGCTCACATTTAAGATACTTTTCAAAATTAATTGTTTGAATTAAATAAATAAATTTAAACATTGTCTGCCAAACATGTTGAACAGAAAATCTAAATGATCAAACTTTTCATTAAGATCTAAACCTATAGTAATCAAATGACATAAATTGTTGGATTATCACTAGAAACGCGACTTTTGCGTACACGACTCTCGGACAACATGCACGAGCCAGTTATTATTATTATTATTATTATTATTATTATTATTATTATTATTATTATTATTATTGTTATTATTATTTATAATTATTATTATTATCAATTAACTGTTTAATTAATTAATTGATTAATTAATTAATAATACTAATGCGATGCCAAGGATGAAAAAGTCACTGTGACCAACCATTATTTTCAGAAAGCTAACTACTTCGCCTTTTTTTTCTCGTCTACTTAATCATGATGGTTAAACGTGTTGGCCATCAATTTAGATACTTTTGGAAGAACATATATTATTAGCTTCCGTAAAGTCCCAACATTGTTCCTTCCAAGTCAATTTTATTTACTTTTTTGCCTCATTTTTGGGGTGTAAAAATTGTGCCTCGCTTTAATTGTGTCGGTTTATCGATCAGAATTAGTTGAAATATAAATTAAATCACAAATTCTATTTGATGGATTGTCTAATTGTTAAACGAGTTAGAACTTCTTATTTGGTGTCACTTTAATTGTGTGGGTGTATATGTAAAAATTATGATTTTGTGCATTGGTGAATATAACTAATAAAAGTATTATTTCTTTGCCTAAGGTGGTCTAACTATTTGACAGACTTATTGTTTTTACTTTTTTTAATATGCATAAGAAAACCATATTTTGTTTATTTTATTCATTATAATATTATTTTAAATTTGAAATTAGGCTCATTCGTTGAAAATGTGTGACTATCAAATCGTTGGATATGTCTAACACAACTAACTGAATTTATATTAGTTCATAATAAGTGTAAAAGATTATGGTTGGTAAAAATCATTCAAAGAACTAAAATAAATTTATATTGGAATTAATTTTGTAGGGCTTTCTATAGTGTTGAATCATGTGTGTTTTCCCTTGTATTTGCAACAAAATCATGATTTCCATTTCTTT